TTTCTAATTAACAGGCTCTGGGGGTAAGGGTAGGCAGCAGTGGGGTGAATATGACCAAAATACATTATATAGGCCAATGGCACAAGCCTGTGATCCCAGCATTCAGAGGCTGAAGCAGTATCACCGTGAGTTTGAGAATAGCCTGGGCTACACACAGTGAGGCCCTGTCTCAAAAAAGAAAAAAAAAAAAAAATACATATTACATACATCAAACCCCCCCACCAAGGGGCCGGGGAGACAGCTCAGTAAAATAAGTGCTTACCTGGCAAGCACAAAGGCCTGAGTTCAATCCCCGGTTCTGCAAGAAAAGGAACCTCCATGAAACTGCAGTGGCGGGGGATGGGGTTAAAGTATGTTATGTGCATATATTATAATCTGCCAAGAACCCAATCATTCTGTAATAACTGATATGCATAAATAAAAATATAGGTAGAAAAAACAGCTATAGATCCCAAGTCTAAAATCATGAGGACTGCTGAGCTTAGCAGCAGAGCACTTGCCTAGTAAGCATTAGGCCCTGAGTCCCATCTGTGTCACCACCACCCTCCAAAAAAAGGTCAGACACTTTTTGGTCCGTTAACCTCATGGACCAAAGTGCACTCTTCTTTCAGACCAAGAAGGCGCCTCTTCAGCTTGGGGAGATGCGCAGGGCAAGTGAAAAACGCTTCAGTGCTGCCTACAGTGGCTCTTAATCCCTAGTGCGTTACTCTGCTCTTATTTTTCTCCACTGTTCCCTCAGGAATGTTTCTAAAAGTTTTTCTAATCACCCTCTCATAAAACTGTAATAGCACAGAAAAACAAACCACCGCACTCGCCGCCTCCCAAGAACTGGTTTTCACTTTCCCAAGGGATATCACCCTCACCCAGGACATGGGTTCTGATGTGCAGAAGGACACCTGCAAAAGAACTGGTTACTCCTAGGGAGAAGGTTACGCAGGGGAGCAGCGGTGCTCCAAGGTCTCTGTGGACCTCTGTGCTGCTTGCACACCCTTCCAAGTGGGTCATCCATACATCACGCCACGAACAGAGAAGGCTGGGAACAAAGCACAGCGTGAACAGATACACAGATGGGCCATATCCGTGCCCTGACTACTGAGCAATCAAAGAAAGCACAGACAACTGTCACTCCACAGCATAAGCATTAACACTAGAGCACCCGACGCTCAGACACCAAGCAGCTGCAGTGCCACGGGCTGGAGGGACGGGGCACTGCTGAGGTGGGGGGATTCCCAATGATGGACTGTTTCTGGAGTGACGGTAGCAAAACTGCAGAGCACTTGTCATAGTTCTCATTCAACAGCAACGGAACTCTACCACGTCTGTGATTCCTCACAACCAAAGTAAGACAAAAAGGAACACTATGGAAAAATTTCCTCTTCCACTAACATACGTGATTTTAAGATTTATTTTTAGAAGCCGGGTGTGATGGCACATGTAGTAATCCCAGGACTTGGGAGGCTGAGGCAGGAAGACAGTTGTGAGTTCAAGACCAGCTGGGCTACAAAGTGAACTCAAGGATAACCTGAATTGTATAGTGAGACACTCTCTCCAAAAAAAAAAACCAAAAGGAAGAAAGAAAAATAAAAGATTTATTTAGAACATAACACAATAAAACTAGACAAAATTCCACCGATCAGAAATGAGGGAGAAACCATGGAGGGGTCGAGGCTGTGCATTTCGGTCAGGGATGCTGCATTTGCAAGCAGACACTGAGAGGACCTTACTCCTCAGGCGACAGTACAAACAGCTCCTCTGGAAGGGCCGAGGAGGGAAGCCCAGGCCGGCCCACCACTCTTTCACCATGGCCAGAGATCAAAATGCCCTCCACACAGGCAGGTTCACCCAGCAGTTGGGCACCAAGCACATAATGTTACCAGCCCTGGACAGCCTGTGGCTGGTCCACAAGGAAGCTCTCAAGCTTCCTGTGTGGGCCATCAATCTTACAAATCCACATCCCTAGATGCGCTGAGCATTGGCCCAGAGTCTCAGTGGAAAGGAGATGGGCTACATCGACTTGTGGGCCCTGGCAAATGAAATGGACAGATGAGGACAGAATCCTTCCAGGCAAAATAACTAACACATAAAGGGCATGAGGACTGAGGATACAGAGAAAAAGGGTGGGAGATCTGCATGCACAGGGTCAGGACAATGGACACAACCTGTGGCTGGCCCACGAGGAAGCGCCCACACTGTGTGTGGGACCCCAATCCTACAAAGCCACATCCCTGGATGCGTACAGCACTGGCCCAGCAGCTAAATTCTTCCTCAGAACTCTGTCCTCAGCTGGGTCACAGGCTTCCCCTACCTCCCCTCTGACAGCTCCCGGCTGCACAGTCCTGGCCACCCAACAGAAACCAGCTTCTCTTTAACCAAGAGCACACTGTGGTTACAACCAAAGCTGGGCCAGGAATGGTGGCCCACACCTCTAATCCCTGCACCTGGAAGGCTGAGGCTTGAGTTCAAGGCCAGCCTGGGCTACAAAGTGAATTCAAGGCCAGCCTGAACTGCATAGCAAGACCCTTTCTTAAAAAGACAAAAAAAAATAAAAGCCACACATTCATCTTTACTAACCCTATCTGTACACCAAGGTCCCTATCTAATCCGCAGAAAAGTCGCTTTTTCATTAATTTTCTTATCAAACAGATACGTACTGAGCACTCACTTCGGCAGACTGACTCACTGAGGCTTTACGTCCCAAGAAGGGAAGAATCCGGCCATAGACGCCGGGTCCTAAGCGCGACGGAACAAAAGGCCCGCGCCGCGAGCTGCTGCTCTGGAGGAGACGACCTCAGGAACAGGTCTGGGGTGCGGGACAGGAGGCCGCGAGGCGGCGCGAAGCCCTTCACAGATCACCCCGCGGGAACCCCGACGGCTTTCGGCGGAGGAGCAAGGATCTGAACCTCCCGCGGCCGCGGCGGGTCCGAGCACGCAGCGGCAGGCGCCGCGACCCAGAGCACCCCGGAGCAACGGACGCTCAGGTTTTTGTTTTGCTTGTTTTTCTGCGGTGCTGGGATGCAACTCGAGGCCCTGCGTGGAAGCCCCCCGCGGAGCCACACCCGGGCCCCCGAGAGTCGCGAGCCGGGCCACGGAAGCCCGGGCCGCAGCCCGCAGCCCGCAGCCCGGTGGGCGTCCGGCCTGCGCGC